CACACACACACACACACACACACACACACACACACACACACACACACACACACACACACGGCCAAAAATTAGTTACCTGCTCGGTTGTTCTTCTACAACAGAATAGTTGTACTGTAATGTTATCTGTATATATAATGTTCTTATCTTATCTTATCTTATCTTTTCTTAATATTATGGCCACACAAGATTTTTAGAGTTACAGTAATAAGCTTCCATCCACATTTTGTGACGACTAAATCCATCATAAACTGAAAAATCATACAGCATCAGTTTATCATATGAATCCATAAAGTTAAATAATAGATATAACTTCACAAGATGCTCAACTTTCCTCATTTTAAACCAGTGGTAAGACTGATTTTTCATGTAGGAGTTCTCATAATATTATGACTTTATTCTCCTTTATTATATCTTTATTCTTATGGTATTTTGACTTTATTCTGTATGACTTTATTCTAGTAATATTTTGAATGTATTTAGGTAATATTAGGGCTTTATTTTCGAATTATTTCAACTTTATTTTGGTTATATTATGACTTTGTTCTGGTAATATTAGGACATTTTCATGATTTCAGTTTTATTCTGGTAATATAATGACTTTATTCTTACAGTATTTAGACTTTTTGCTGGTAACTTTAAGACTGGCCATAATACTCCGTTGTATTCTCTTACCCCTGCAGCGGATCAGTTGGAGGAAATCACCCACCGAATCAGAAACTTCTCTCAGCAGATTTCCTGATTGGATCTCTGGGGTCGGKGCCTAAAAGCCGACTAACGACTGAATCGTGGAGCAGAACAGAAGAAGAGACCGGCCCGTGGTTCGTGTTCAGATCACTGGATCGTGACTTTGCCTGGTTTTTTTGCAGTTTGTGTTTTACATCTCCAACATCTCCATTCACTTCCTTTCTGTTTTGCTTCCGAACATTTTAAAGTCTCGTGTTTTATGTGAAATAGTTCTGCAGCTTCTTCCTTTAAACAAAATTCAGTCCATCTGCAGAAAACTTGACACATTTTCTGTAAACATGTCCCAGGTTTGTAGCTTTTTTACAAACCGCAATGTATTTTTGTGCTTTTTAAAGCTATTATATTTTGCTTTTTTGTAGATTTAATCAAATAAAGTATGTGTTTAAAGTTGTTTTTTTTTTTGGTGAAGTTGTTTTATTTGTTGACTACGTTCCTTGAAAATAAGACTCCATGTATATGAAAGTCTGCTTATGTTCTTCCGTTGTGGAAAGGTGGAAATCTGTCTGGTCAACAACTACAGACCAATTTCCAAATTATGTGTACTTTCAAAAGTTTTGGGTAAATTGGTTGTGGAACAGTTGAAAACATTTTTACACTCAACAGGCTTTCTATCAAGGCACCAATCAGGTTTTCGTAAAAAGCACAGCACAACTGCAGCTCTTAAAGTGGTAAATGACATCATAGATGGAAGAAAATATTGTGCGGCAGCTCTTTTTGTTAATTTGACACTGTGGATTGTGTCATCTTGATGAATCATCTGTACAACGTTGGGTTGTCTGTTCAGACTGTGAAGTGGTTCTCCAGTTATTTATCTGGTAGAGCTCAGTGTGTCCAAGCTGATGGGTCTTGTTCCTCCCTATTTTAAAGGGAGTGCCTCAAGGCTCCGTACTAGGGCCTTTGTTTACATTTTATGTTAACCTGTGATAACTAATGCTGAATCTCATCTTTATGCTGATGATGATACAGTTATTTATTGTTCATCTTCATCAGTTTCACAATCATTTAAATTTTGCAATCTGCGTTGTTGTTCAGTCATGTTCTGARTGCAGATAAGTCAAAGGCTGGGCTATTTTCCAATGTAAGCAGCTCCCACCTCTCCCAGCTTGTTTACTGTTCAGGGGGTTGAAATTCAGGTTGTCAGTTGCTACAAATATTTAGGTTTTCTGATTGACAAGAATTTATCATTCAAAACCCCTGTTGATAAACTGGTTTCTAAGCTAAAACTTAAATTAGGATTCTTTTTTTTAGAAACAAAAAGTCAGAAGACACCTGGTTACCTCAACTCTTCTTCCCCTGATGGATGATGGAGATCTGGTTTTCATGAACTCTTCAGCCTAGCATTTAAAGAAATTAGATGCTGTTTATCACTGTGTTTCATTACAAACTATCAAACACATCACTGCACTTTGTCTGCTACAGCAAAATGTCCATCTTTGACTGTCCGCAGACTCTCGCTGGCTGATTTTTATTTAAAAATGCATTCTGGGGCATCTTCCTTCATATTTATGCTCATTTGTTGAGAACCTGCAGCCGTTATGATCTGCTCTCAGGACATTATGATGAWGCAGGTGCCAAAAGTTAGAACTAAACTTGGTAAAAAGGCCTTTAGATTTTCTGCTCCTGCCACTTGGAATAATTCACAGAAGGGTTTGAAGTTATCATCTCTCATTACCTTGGGGCAATTCAATCAATTTTAAAGGACAG